TTTTGTTCTTGTGAATTTACAACAAAAATATTAAAGTATTAATTTGTTAGATTGGTTATTTACAAGAATAATTTTATATTTACAATATTCTAAAAACTAATATAATCATATTAAAACTTTGCAATAATTATCATTTACCAATTTCTAAAAAAATAAATATGAAAACAATTTAAACAATATAATAGTGTAAATAAACAATCAAATAAATAAATTGAATGAAAAATCACACTCTTTGAGTTTTGTCAATAGATCTAACTAACACCTTTATCCACTGTGCCATGTGTCCTTTCTGGGTATTATAAACCTAATGTCTTCAGTCACCACATGGTACAGTGGATAAAGGTGTTAGTTAGATCCAGTGACAAGACCCAAAGAGTGTGAGTTCAATACCCGGTTAAGGCAGTGGAGAACTTGGAGAGTGGAATTAACAGGAGATAACTGACATCCATTAAACATGGCATGTGGAACTAGAACAGTTTACCCCAGTGAGCAAAATAAAGGGTTCAGTTTGACATTCCAACCACCTGAAGAAGGTCGGAGCATACAACGGCCGAAACATTGTAATAATAAATATGGTGACAAAGATGAGGACAATAGTCCGAATAATGTAAATAGTGTACATAATAGCTCATCTCAGAAATATAGACAGATACAGAATTAAATTATTATATGTAGATTAACATGATAGGATAAAGAACAAATAGGAAATGTTTATCAATCTAACATGTTTCCCTTTTATTAAACATTCATCAGAGAATTAACATGCTTGATATTATAAGAATATTATATATAGTAAATTTTTTCAAGGTAAATTAATATTAAATGCAGACAGAATGAAATTTTTCTCTCTTTCTCTCGCTATATATACATATATGAAAGTGAAGTCTGAAGATCCAGAGAAATATATATATATGTGAAAGTGAAATATATGAAAGTGAAAATATATATATATATATATATGAAAGTGAAAATATATATATATATATATATGAAAGTGAAAATATATATATATATATATATATATGAAAGTGAAAAAAAAATATATATATATATATATATATGAAAATATATATATATATATATATATATATATATATATATATGAAAGTGAAAAAATATATATATATATATATTTATATATATATATGAAAGTGAAAATATATATATATATATATAATGATAGTGAATATATATATATATATATATATATATATATATATATAATGATAGTGAATATATATATATATATATATATATAATGATAGTGAATATATATATATATATATATATAATGATAGTGAATATATATATATATATATATATATATATATATATGAAAGTGAAGTCTGAAGATCCAGAGAAAAATAAAAACTCTGGTGAAATAAATTATAACTAATAGAACCTTAAAGTGGTCTGTTTTTTTTTTAAATTAAATTATTTGCTCTGACTTAACATTGAACTCCCAGATTTCATCCTTCTTGGGATTATCCATACTGATTACCAAGATTTTTGTTACTTATATATATATATATATATATATATATATATAAAATAACTAGACTCGTTTCGAAAAACCCTCGAATTTTTGATTTGTTAATAAAATCAATTTCGAGGGAAAAAAGGTTTTAAAAAAAGAAAGAGCTACAAACATAAACTTCTGCCGACAAAAAATTGCACAGATGCAGGTCTGAAGCCCAAAGAAAAAAACCCGATACGAGTAACAACTAACTAACAAAAAGAGCTCAATACAATCGTAGAGCAAACCTAGATACACCTAGTGAGCCAGACAAACCTACCTAGGTTTCACCTAACGGATCGTCAGGAAAGTTCCCTGACGATCCGTTTAGGTGAAACCTAGGTAGGTTTGTCTAACTCACTAATGTATCTATATATATATATATATTTGTTTTACAATTATGTTCACCCTGTACAAAGCCCAAGAGCCACTCAAGATAGAAGGTTACAGAGTAAGAGGTAAGGGGCACAGTTTATGAGGATATGTAGGAGAAGATAATGATTAACCCTAGAATTGAACAGGTTAATATTGTAGTGGTTGAGGAAGTATCTTTTTGGATGTCAGTTTCACAAAGTAATAGTTCATGGGAAGAAGCTGTTCAAGTGGAACTTACATCTAATTAACAGTCTATGAAAGGAATGAGGGTGGTTCGTTACACTGTGCATGGCCTGGTGGGTCTTAGCCATGAAAGTTTAACTTGTGGAATGTCGTTAGTTTGAACACAACCCATGGAAATAGCGATAGAGTAGTGAGAGGCTTGCAACATTTCATCTGTGGTAAAGTACTCTGGTGGAAAATAATTAATCACCCACAAATCTACAGAGATGCTTTTGGACTATCATAACTGGAAAGTGAAGATTGGGCAGTTCCTGCCCATATATGGAAGTAGTACTCCTTTTTTGGCCTGATTTCACACTCATAAAGGTAGAGGCTAGCAGGAGGAGTCAGATACTTATTGGGGTGGTACAGAAAACAGCATCTTTACTGATGTATCATATGTGGGTGTGCCTCTTGTGGTTTGGGTTAGTTTTGTTTTACAGCATATCAACCTCAATCGGTTATTTTATGCCGACAAAATTCTTATTGTTGGTAATATTTTTTTCAAAAATCTATTTCTGGTAATATTTTTTCCTTCAAATAATCTATTTTCAATAATATTTTTTTCTACAAAAAATCTATTTCTGGTTTTAATTTTCCTCCAAATATCTATCGCTAGTAATATTTCTTCTTTTTCAAAAAATGTATAGCTGGTAATTTTTTTTTTTTTTTATCCAAAAATGTATTGCTGTTAATATTTGTTTTTCAAAAATGTATTGCTGGTAATCATTTTTTACAAAGTATTTCTGGTATTAAAACCTATTTTTACACTTTCATAGTGTTCTGACCCCAGTTTGGGGGTTAACTATTTGCCCATAGGTGCTACCACCCCAGACCAGGGTGGACTTGGGAACACCAGCAATTAAGAGGTAGTTCCACATTCCTCAAAACCTGATCAGAGGACTTGCTGTTGGATGTAGCTTATCGTCTTACCCAGGACACACTAAAGTCCCAATAGTTGCTCAAGGAATCAGTTCTACTGGAGAGAACATCTGTTTATTGTGATAGGGTCTGCTCAATGATGATAAAATTTCATTAGATTGGTTTTCAAGGCATTGAATGTGACCAGCCAGTTTTTACTCCACTGGGCTGTTAGGGTTAGAAAAGAACTTGCGAAGTGCTGGTCATCTAGAGTTTTGGAGGTACACCCATATAAACACTGTATCATCAGATAACTAGATGTTAACAACTACCTTCAGGGACCTACTCATTAGGAACAACTTGATAATTGAGAAGATTCTTCCAATGATTCCATAGCTAGAGAGCTTATGCAGCAACCATCTATACAAAAACTTGTCAAAGGTCTTTACAATATCTCATGGATCATTCTCAAGATGTATATATTGTCTAGTGTCTCACTGATTCAATGAATAATGATAATCAGGATATCATCAGTGGACTGAGATGATTGAAATCCTTACTGTATGTCACTGAAGAGGTTGAGGTGATCAACAATCTTCTTGTTGATTATAATTTCAAAAAAGTTTGCTAATGACACTGAGGAGGCTGGTGTATCCTATCCCACCCACATTCTTGAAAACAGGGCATACACTTGACATCTTCCACAGATGTGGGAAGGATTTCTCAGTCAAGCAGCAGTTAAATAGTTTTGCTAAGATCAGGGGTAACTCAGAGTTTATGTTCTTAAGGACAACCACTGGGATTTTATATGGACCAATAGCCTTTTTTGGGTCAAGACTTTTAATAAGTCTTGAGACTTCCTGGGCTGTGATAAAAAATATTACTAATGGCCTTTGTCATCTAACATTGAGTTAGAGGCAAAGATCTATGATAATTTAATGACTCTTGTTAATCTATTTGGCATTTTTTGTGAAACATATCTTTATATATGCCTATTCAGAGAATTATGGTTAGTCACATAATTTTTCTATCCTTTAATGCTATTATAACTTTGATTCTTATTGGGTACCCTACAGCTGAGGCTTTGTATTGGACTAAGTGAAGCTTATATACTTTTATATAGATCTTCCTAAAATATTTAAGTATTGCTTATTGAATTATAAAATAATGGAATTTACTTGAAAAATATTTTCATTTCCTCACAAGATAAGGACAACAGAATTTAACTCTTAAATAGCAGGAATCATCAAATGATATTTTATTGAAGATCAACAGATATTTAAATTTTTTACAACAATACTAAATGATTAATTGGTAAATTGATTGCCTCTAAAAACACATAAAATATTATAAGATGTGGGGTTTTGATTTACTTGATGTACTATTTTCAAGTAGCTATAATCATTTTCTGGTAGTAATCTGAAAGTAATCCATCTTTTAGGAAGTTTAGCTACAATATAATGTACAATGTTGCAAGAGGAACATGGAAAATTGACTCGCATATTCAGAAGATTTGCAATGGATCAACCAGATCAACTTTGTGGTCAGGCATTCATTCTCCATAACTTCCTGGAATATTTGTCTGCAAATAAAGCTGGAAGAACAACCCAAAGACAGGGCTGTGTCTGCATGTATACTTTTCAAAGAAAAAATAGAAGCAAAAAATGGTGACAATGTAGTGCAAAGAATGCACCGCTATTTTACATGGAATGTTTCAAGGAAAAAAAAATGTTAGATTTAGAAATCTAGTTTATTTCCTATTTTTTCTTTATTTTATAAAATAAAGAATTTTTCAAAAATATTTTAATATTTTTTTCAAGTGAAAATGAGCATGAATTTCTCCCTTAAAAAATTAATTTTCTCTTTTTTTTTTACCTGTTTGGAATGCACATTTATGCAATCTTTTCCTGCCATTTAAGGGTTAATAGCAAGAGGAACTTGGGATTACAAGTATAGATATACATAGATAATTACTTGATAAAACCCAAATGATGAGCAAAGTTTGAATAAAATCAGAAGTACCTACCTTAATATTTCTAATCTGTACAACCTCTGTTGCTTCTTCTGTTGACTCCATGCTGCTTTCATGCCGTTGTGTATTTGATATCTTTGGAGTAATCTCAGCATCGCTTCTTGTGCGCTTTAGTGATATATTTGCTGAGAGACTGTCTGGCTTGCTGGTAGTTGGCTGCTCTATGTCTTGCATGAGGGGAACAGAGTCTGGCTCGACTGGACAATGCAAGTTTTCATTTGAGTCTCTATCTCTGGTGGGTTGTGTCTGGTTTTTGTTGTTTTCATCCTCAATCGTGATCAGTTTAAGGCTGTGGGTACGTGAGCCACAGCTTATGTGGGTGGGGCTGTTGCAAGGAGAGTCACAAGTGCTTTCTACATCTGCACTTGCTCGGCTAGATCGTTTGCTGCTGCTACATGTTGCAGCATCACTGCAGCCACCATCAGAACAAAAACAGACATCGTTTAAGTTATGGTTTTCCAGGTTATGACTAACAATAAGGCTGTTTACTACAGTTTCATTACACACAGACAGCTGACCTTCCCGAAGGGTCATATTAGGTCCCAAGTATTTGTATGTGGTCTGACTCACTTCTGATGGGTCAACATGACGTAGAGTTATTGCTTTTGATTGCAACTCTTCATGTAGGGCATCCTTTGTTGGGCTTTTAGCTGTAGTTGGACTTTTATTAGGACTGGAGGTAGATGTGGTAATGGATCCTTTACTATTATTACGACGGTGACGACTTTTACGAACTCGAACTTTAGTTGGTGATGGGAGAACATGCTCAGAGCTGGTTGTCATGCTACCTTCTTTATTTTGGGAATCAGGACTGAAACAAAAACATTTGCAAAGTTAAACATGTTCATTTTAATTAATTAAATGTGGGATTAATTATACATTGATCTGTTTGCTTTAATATTTTCATCTTGGCTGTTGTAGTCAAAATATATTCTCTTTCAGTGGATTTTTTTCAAATGATTATTTATTATGGCTTACCAATCTTTGGCAGAAAATATGTTTAGATTGTAATAATTTTTTTGGAGATAATAATGATTTACTGATAGAAATCCTACTAATTAACCTATAGCTGGGAGGAGAAGATGTTGACTTGTACCTTTCTCAAGAGTATTTGGGTGTAAGTGAATATAATGAACTGAACTGGAACTTGGATTTCCAATTTCCAAGTCTGAGCAGTTATCCATTACCACCACACCCACACATTAGAACTTACAGCATCTGATATTCCCAGGTGGTCACTCATGTTGATAGTGACCAGGCTCAACATTGTTTAACATTGGTAATCATATGAGAACCAGTGTTTTAACATGATATGGTCATAAGCCATCTTTCAGTGAAAAATGTTAAAAGTAAACCAGAAAGAATTGTTATGAGATATTCCTTACCAAAAACAGTAGAATGAAAACAAGGTGGCTTATAGACCAAAGAATGGACTTGGTTCAAAATTCCCAAAAGGTTACCATATAATACAGACCTTTGAAGAAGGGTAAAATTGTTGAATGATGTGACTGCAACAACCAAGATAAAGACACTAGCTTAAATACAACAATGTATAATAATGATAATTCCTCATCTCAGAAATTCAGATAAAGATGTAGGAACAATTCAGAAAACTGTAGTGCTATTAATATTTCTTGAACACAACTGAAATAAGATATTTTGTTAGTAATTTTTAACATTGAAACAATAGTATTTAATAATGTATTTGCTAAAATTTACTTTTGTTGCATAATTGCCAAAATTGGCTTAAAATATTTCTATAAATACCAGGTTTTTATTTCTATCAAATACATGATAAAAAAATTTAACTGCAAAAATTTTCTAATTCGGAAAAACAAAAAGTTTAATCTGTTACTTAATCACTCTTGATGTCTTAAAATAAATAAATGAATCTGCCCTCACACACAAAAAAAAAAAAATACATTTAAATTTAAAATTTGAATTTAAGGAGTTGAATCAAATTTTCCAGGTATAACCTAACCGTGGAAATAATTTTTGTTAATTTATGAATTAAAAATATTTCTCCAGTACCATTTATAATTCCTTTTAAGATTAAACATTTTCAGAATGTGTTTGTCAAAATACTATTAAGAATTTTGAAAATATTATCAAGCTGATTACTGAGTGGCACTTTAAAAACTCATAAACAGTTCCTTATAGAAAACCATTTGGGGTTTATATTAATTCATAATGCTTAAAGGAATTGTGTAGCTGGCCAGTTAAGAAAGGGTCTGCCTTTGTTAAATCATTAAATGGATTTTGTTTGGTGACTGTATATTGCATACTTTCTTACTGGTTAATCATAAGCCCTGAGCTGATAGAATTGGGATTCAAGAAAGCATGCCTACATAAATATACAAGTTTTCTTTCTTGCTGCACCTTTTTATCTCTATGATACTAAACAACTTTAGAGCTAATCATTCCTTACTGTATTTGATGATATATAAAACATCTCCCCCATTTACAATGAATATTATGGTATTATAGATTTAGGTTAAGTACAGTTATTAATAGTATAGAGGGTTTGTTTAACATTAGTTTAGCAAATACCTCAACTTCACATATAAGTCTTGGGTAACATTTTCTGAATCATTGTTTGAGGAAAAGGTGAGGATGTGGTCTAATATGCCATTAAATACAATAACTATTACTCTCACCAAGAGTAACAAAAATCTTGTAAAGAAACTAGCCAATGAATAGTCTTACAAGAACAGTCTCTGCTGGTGATAATATACAAAGTTTAGTGATTGGTTACAGTTGAATTCTTAGTAAATGTGCATGCTTATATTCTGCAACCCTACATTGTGTGGTCATTAGGGCACCATGTTTATTTCAACACATATTACTGTGGTAAGATCGTTTGAGGGAACCCATCTCTCTCTGGACTGGTTTTAAATTGAGAGTTGTCTTTTTCCTTGACTGGTAAGTTTATCTTTGACTTGGTTGCTCTACCAAGGTTAAAGAACCTAGTCTGCCTTACAATTTCACCTATAACTGTTGAAAAGATGGATTAATTTCTTTCTCTAATTCCTACCTGTGCTGCTTTCATAATGTCAACAACCAAAAGCTCTTTACAACATTAGTAACCAAACCACTATCTTTCCAAAGTATGCATGTCAATTCACAGAGAGTGAAGAAAAATAATCTGTGGAGAGTTGTGATTGCCTACATCTTGAAGGGATATGACAATATTAAAAAAAGAAAAAAGTAAAAAAAAATGCAAGTGACTTGTATTTAACTAGTTATTACCTGTGTAATTTCATGGATATGTAGAAATTTTTAATGAGATATTTTTTTAAACAGGTGAAACAAATGCCAATTTTTTCAGAAGATGTAAAGAAAAATTCAAATTTAATTTTTTCAATTTTTTTTTTAATTTTCATTAATAAACTCTTGAACAAAGACAAGAAAACTTAAGTTAATACAAAAAAATATTCACATGGTTGTCTTGTTAAAATCAAATTTAATAAAAATTCAAAGAAAGTTAAATTTAGTTTGCGTTGTTTTAAATGAGTTTAATGCATCAATATTAGTTAAAAATAATTAAGTTAGAGACAAAAATCATTATAAACATTAAAAAAAAAAGGAAATAAATAAAAACCCAAGTTAGTATTCCAAAGCTAATTTTACCCAAATATCTCAGCAGCAATATGTTGGCATATTGGTATGATGGTTGCCTGTTTACCTTCAGGTCAGAAGTTTGAATCTGGGCATGGGCCAATTAATTTCATATATCTGTTTGACAAAACCAACCAACAAATGAAAGTGACATTGTATTTTATAGAATAAGATGATTTTATCATTGAACTAGAAATTTCAAGGTTTGTACAGATTAATTCATTGCATTAGGAAAGTTACAAATTTAGCAAATAATTATTTTGTATTTAAGGTTTCAAGATCTGAATTGATGATGACAGTTTTAACAATGGTGAGATTAATTTACAGATCAGTATAGAATATAATTTTCTTTGCATAGAAAATACTTAAGAAACATTTCCAAATTCACTTAAACATAATATATATGGCATTGTAATACAGAGATAGAGAATATGTATGTTCTCATAATCTTCACTTCCTACCACTTTCTCTTACAATCACATCACACTTCATTCAGTAATCTTCTATCATGAGTGGCACTTGAGTCTTATATTGGGTGAATGTATTAAAAAATCATAATAAATACAGAATTAATTATAGGAACATATTTGTCAGTATATCAATAAGTCCATAGCCTAATACAAAAAAAAAAAAAGAAGAAAACATTGATTTTATATAACAAATATTTTGTTGGCCAGATTGACAATCACCTGGTGAAGACTGGAGAGCACAATGGCCAAAACATTGTGATAACATCAACAAAGATGAGGACATGTATGTAAATAATAAATATTTTTTAACCTAATCACTTTCCTTAATTATTTAACCAACACTTCTCCATTAATCATGTAGATAAACATTATACGGTGACAGATTCAAATCAAAACTTAATGTTAGGTTACAGACTTATTGATCCAACCCTTGTAAAAAGCAATGCAAAAATAAAAACCTCTTCTTCCATAAACTGAAACTTGCATTCAAATTTTTTTCTTCTTATGAAGCAAAATTTATTTTCATAAAAGCAGTATAATAAATGTTTAGTTAAGGTGAATAATTTAATGACAAATTGGAAATTCTATGTAAGGCCTCTTGTTCTACAAAAGGACTCAAATAATGTTTTTATTGATGGAATTAGATATCTATGGTTGGGGGCAGGGAGAGCACACCCTCTGTCTATATATACAGGGTGTAGTAAAAGTGTTGTAATGGAATGTCTCACTCTCCCTATCGCGGAATGACTATATTAGTAGATTTTTATATATATATATATATATATATATATATATATATGTGTGTGTGTGTGTGTGTGTGTGTGTGTGTGTGTGTGTGTGTGGATATACCTAGTGACTTGCTTCAGGAATTACTAGCTTGCTAACTGATTCCCTATCTTTCAGTAGTATATTCTTGTTATACTGGAACATACCTATTCTATTGTTAATAGACTCTCCCACATATAATAAGTAGTAGTAGTAGCAGTTGCCAGTGAGCTGAGGGAGTTGGTCGAGTCAGTCGATGTTGGACATTAAAGTATCAACCACCACAACTAGATTGCTGCGTCATTAACTATTATTTCAAGTTCCTAACGTTTTGTACGTCAAACCTTTTTTAGGACCGACTTAGTGAAATACAAGCGTCCACTGTGAAAACTACAACAATTCTATTTTACAAGAAACCTCTCTTTCTTTCATGTATGCTTGTGTTGCTGTTTCTTTCACTAGAGTACCACCCTTGTCTGTTTTTAACCTCTTTAAGGATACAACAAAAAGTAATGCCCATTTTTTTATTTAATAACTTTTATTGAACAAAAATAAAAGACAGTAGTTTAAGAAAATTTATAAGTATTGTTACATCAAAACAACATGATTTGTTATGATTAACAAACTATTTAAGATGATCAAAACGCTTCTCTTCATATTCAATGCACTATCGGTATAACACTTCTAAAAACCATTTGAGACATTTCTACATTAATTTCAGAAGATTTATCAGAAATTGCTTGTTTTAATTCAGGAAATGTTTTCGGCTTGAGCCTGTAAACAAGATCTTTTAGTACACACCACAAGATATGCCAGTTAACTACTCCATGTCATCCTAACTACCTCACCTCAAAATTGACATTCTACACTAATTTAAATAAAAAGTTAAAAGGGAAAGACCCATCAATACTGGAAAGAGCAATAACAACTACTGGACTTGAAAAACCTATTTTTCTGA